GGTAAAGACACGGCTGGCATAGTCCAGAGGAGAGTGTTTGGTGGGTGAAGGATGGTGGTGATAGGGAGTTAACCCCCAGCTACCACAGGCAAGACTCCCTCTAACCAGAGGCAGGCGGGTAACAAGGTGATTTACAATCCTGGATATGCTGAGAGAACCATCACAATTGTTAGCGGACATGATAAACAAATGAATAGTGTTGGACTACATGGCGTTGAGAGAGCAAACGATAATGGGGAAAGGTTAAGAACTTGCTGTGAGATACACAACCTGATGCTTGGCCGTGCTTGGCTTCCTCCCAGAGTTATGCACACAGCTACTTGGAATTCACGGCCCGAACCCCCTCACCAGCTGGTCAAACCAAAAACCTGACTGACCTGATTCTTATCAGTGAAAGGCCCACATGGCCACTGTTGGATGTTAGAGTCTATAGAGTGTGGCCAGGATCACAAACTACTCATGGGAATGATTAAGCGAAAGCCCAAGAAAAAGATGGGTGCAGCTGGAGCCAAATTTGATTTTGATAAAGGAAAACTCCACGAGGGAGGCACACAAGGCCATGCTTGGGGGGGTATTTCAGAGTATTAATTTGTGATGATGAGGAAATCTCACTACAGACTGAATGGGAACCATTCAAGGAAGCTATACAAAATACAGCGGAGGAAGTTATTGGAAGGTATAAGCACACAAGGAAAAACTGGATAAGTAACAAAACAAGAACGTTGCAGGAAAAGTGTAAGCAAGCCAAGGCTGCTGGGAAAGTGGAAGAAGAAAAGGTGTTGCACAAAGCAGTGAAGAAATCACAAAGATTGGACAAGCACAAGTTCTGGAAAGAAGCAGCTCAACAACCAGAGGTGGCATCAAGAGAACAAGATATGAAAACGCGAAACTGCCTAGGGAAGTGGTGGAAGCTCCTTCACCAGAGGTTTTCCAAAGGAGGCTGGACAGCCATTGGTCTTGGATGGTTTTCTAGAACGGGAATGAATGGCGACGCTGCGTTGCTCCCCGGGTCTTCAAAGATGGTTTGGGACGAGAAAAACCTCTACTGGAAGGATCTTGCCTGATACATCCTGGGATCGTGTTTGCCTTTTGCCTGGCCACAGGACATTGGGGCTCATCGGTATCCTGGCAATGGTGTTTATAAAACACCCTCCCCACTCTAACCAGTAGACCCCACATCCTCTCAGAGCTGGGAATGGAGCCCAGCCATCCTGACTCCCAGCTCTTCCTCTAACCCACTAGACCCCACTCCCACAGCAGGGAACAGAATCCAAGTGTCTTGACTCCTGGCCCCCTGTTTTAACACACTAGACCCCACTTCTCTCCCAGTGCAGGGAATAAAACCCAGGAGTCCCAACGTTCATCCCTCCCGCTGTTCTATCCCATTAAACCCCGCTCCCTTACTAGAACTGGGAATAGAACCCAGGAGTCCTGATAATCCAAGAGCCCTGCTCTCACCACCAGGGTCTGAGCTCCAAATAAAGCTTTCTTCCAAATTTATTTCTCGGTCCCATCCTGGGTATGTGTCTTCAGCGGTCTTGGGAAATTTGGCCAGTCACTAAAGCGCTTCCCACAGTTGGGACATTTATAGGGTCACTCCCCTGTGTGGATCCTCTGGTGCATAACAAGCCTGGAGCAAACACTGAAGCTCTTCCCACATTCATCGCATGTATAGGGTCGCTCCCCCGTGTGGGTCCGCTGGTGCTGCGTGAAGCTCGTCCCGCAGATGACACATTTGTAGTAGGGTCGCTCACCGGTGTGGACCCTCTGATGATCTGCCAGTGAGGAGCTGTGGCAGAACACTCTCCCGCAGTCGGGGCATTTGTAGGGGTTCATGCCTATACGGATCCTCTGATGCTCGAGGAGGTTGGAGGTCTGAGCGAAGCTCTTCCCACATTCGCCACACCCATAGGGCTTCTCGAACCATGTGGGTTCTGTGGTGCCTGATTAGGGTCGCACTCTGACTGAAGCTCTTCTTGCACTGGGCACACATGTAGGGTTGCTCCACTATGTGGCTCCTCTGATGGTGAAGGAGGTTGGAGCTGTCGGCAAAGCTCTTCCCACACTGAGGGCAGTTGTAGGTCGATCCCCCGTGTGGATCCTCTGGTGCCTGTGAAGGTTCGATCTCCAGCTAAAGATTTGTCCACATTCTGAACATCTGTGGGCTTTTTCTCCCATGGTGATAGGGTTGGCTTTGGTTTGGCTGAAGTCTCCTCCATGCTGAGCGGGGGTCTGCCGGCGGCTGTCCTGCTCTGCCCTGACTCTCGCTGGCATCTCCTCCTGGGGGGCTCTCCTCCTCAGCTCCTGGAAGAGAATAAACCACAGCTGAGCAGCAGATGAATACAGCCAAATCTTTCCTCTTTCACTGCTGCCCTAGAGCCGGCTGGATGGGTGGGAGACCCCTGGGATTCAGCTCCCCAAACTCCCTCTCCTTGCTGCTCTGGAGCTGGCAGGGTGTGTCTCCAGTCCCTGTTTGGATCTGATCCCGACCTCTCCCCTGTCAAGGTTCCTTCCCCACTCTGAACTCTAGGGTACAGATGTGGGGACCTGCATGAAAACCTCCTAAGCTTACTTTTACCAGCTTAGGTTAAAACTTCCCCAAGGTACAAATTAATTTTACCCTTTGCCCTTGGATTTCCACTGCCACCACCAAACTTTATCTGGGTTTACTGGGAAATGTAGTTTGGACACGTCTTTCCCCCCAAAATCCTCCCAACCCTTGCACCCCACTTCCTGGGGAAGGTTTGGTAAAAATCCTCACCAATTTGCATAGGTGACCACAGACCCAAACCCTTGGATCTTAGAACAATGAAAAAGCATTCAGTTTTCTTGCAAGAAGACTTTTAATAGAAGTAAAGGAATCACCTCTGTAAAATCAGGATGGTAGATACCTTACAGGGTAATTAGATTCAAAACATAGAGAATCCCTCTAGGCAAAACCTTAAGTTACAAAAAAGACACACAGACAGGAATAGTCATTCTATTCAGCACAGTTATTTTCTCAGCCATTTAAAGAAATCATAATCTAACACATACCTAGCTAGATTACTTACTAAAAGTTCTAAGACTCCATTCCTGTTCTTTCCCCTGCAAAAGCAGCATAAAGATAGACACAGACCCTTTGTTTTTCGCCCTCCTCCCTGCTTTTGAAAGTATCTTGTCTCCTCGTTAGTCATTTTGGTCAGGTGCCAGCAAGGTTACCTTTAGCTTCTTAACCCTTTACAGGTGAGAGGATTTTTCCTCTGGCCAGGAGGGATTTTAAAGGGGTTTACCCTTCCCTTTATATTTATGACACCCCCGACCCCCACTTCCTCCAGGCAGCTATTGCCTGCCTCTGCTGATGTTTCTCTCCCTCCTGCGAGTCCCCCTCGCTGAGCCTGCGTCTCCCTGGCGCCTTTGCTCACCACCCAGCTGGGGCAATCCCCTCCTGGGCCTGGGGCTGCAGACGGGGACTTGCCCCGGCCCTATTCACCACACAGAGCCCAGCTGTCTCATCATCAGACAAACTGGAGTTTGTGATGAAAGCTTATTAAAACCAAATTCACCACACATCGGGTTCTTCCAGCCCCAGGGGCCCAGCCACGTACCCAGATCAAATGATACTTCATATCATAAATAAAAAACCATGCCGATAGCCAATCCTTTAGTAAGCGAAGTCTAGAGGTTTGTTAACTAAGAAAAAGAAATGAGAGTTATTAAAAGGTTAAACAGATAAAGGACATTACCGTTGAATTATATAGCATGTAGTCCAAAAGAGAGCAGGGATGTTAAATCTGCTGGTTTTCTGTAAATCTTTCTGGATTGCCCAAGTAGTTTGGGGGGGCCTCAGTCCTTTTGTTCAAACTTCCCTTGTTAGAATTCATCAGTCCAGAGATGGGCTAGGAAAGAGGTGGGGAGGAGCCTTTGTTCTCTCCTTTTATATCTTGACCCTTTGGGCTGGAAAAATACTGGCTGTCTCATGGGGCACGCATCTCCATGGCACACAGGAAAAAAACCCACACCTCAGTACCCTATGTTGTGGACCTCCACCTGGCGCTGGCCAAGATGACCATCCACCATACCAGGAGGAGGGAGCTGGACAGGGAGGTGCTCTCGAACTATGGGGCCTACTTCCAATCCTCCCTTAAATCACATCTCCAGGCAGAGCTCCTCAGGGCCATGTCCACTGGCTCCCCGGATGGCTTTGAGGAGCAGTGGGCACTGTCCGGGATTCCTTGCTCAGTGCCCCCCTCTGAATCCTTGTTTTTGAAACTGTGACTTTCACTCACCTCCCTCTATTTTTAATTTGTTGTCCCTTAAAATAATTTCTGACCTGGGTTCAGTAGCTCCGCCCTTTTGGAAAGCCCCCATCCCTGGTACCCCCCACCAGAGCAAATGCTCAGGCATGAAATCCCGGCCCATGAAACCTGTTGTCTGCTTCTCACTCATCCACTGCCTCAGAACCTGCAGGACAGCAACATTCCATCCAGTGGCTTCGGAACCCTCAGGAACCCAACATTCTGCCCAGCTGCCACAGAACCTTCAGGGCGGGGCTCCAACGTTCCATCCAGCTGCACTGTCCTTGGGCTAAGGGATCCCTGTGGGACTGTGTCCATTGGGGCTGGAACATCCATCGGGCTGAGGCCTTGGATGAGATCCCGGCCGGGGCTCCCCTCCACAAGGGCTGGCTGCCCGCCAGTGCCCCCCCTGGGTGGCGGCCAAGCATGCCGGGGCAGCTCGCTAATGCCTCGGCGATCGCTATTTCCCACCCTCGCCAGAGCCTTGCGCCGACCGTGTGGGCAGGGAAGGGTTAATCCGAACTCCGCCCTTTCCCGGGGCACGTGGTGCCATAACGGGGCTGTGATAGGGCAGGTCGGGAGCAGGGTGGGAGCGCAGCAGCGCCCCGGACGCCTGGGTTCCGAGCGTGGCTCGCAGCGCCGTGAGGGGGCGAGTCCCAGTGTGCAGCCCGCGGGCCCCGGGAGGGCTCGGCTCGGCTCGGCTCGGCCGGGCGGGCGGTGAGTGGGGGCGCCGGGGAGAGGCCGAGGCAGGAAATCGCTGCCTGGAGGAAGTGGTGGCAGGGGCGGGGGGCTCGGAGCCGAAACGCGGCTGGGACCGGAGAGACCCCCCCGCCCCCAGCCAGCTCTGGAGCAGCCCAGCAGGGCCCCCCCCAGCCGAGCCCGCCCTGGGGCAGCAGTCGCAGGGGGGTTTCTAGATCAGCTGTGCGGCGCTTTCCTCCTGCCCCGAAGGTGAGAACAAAGAAGGGGATCCCCGTCAGGCCGGGACTTGGAGCCCGGAGCCGCACAGCCCCTCGCGGGGAGACCCCAAAGCCCTGAGCCGGGAGAGACACCAGCCTGGCGCAGCGCGGGGCTGGTCGGCAGCAGAGAGGAAACCCCCCGCCCCCCAATCCCCGCGTAGAGACGACCCCTGTCCTCATGGAAGAAAATCCCCATAAATGTTCTGTCTGCAGGAAAAGCTTTAAGCAGAGCTCGACCCTAAGGAGGCACCAGCGAACCCACACGGGGGAGCGACCCTACAAATGCCTCCAGTGCGGGAAGAGCTTTGCCGACAGCTCCAACCTCCTTCGCCATCAGAGGAGCCACACGGGGGAGCGACCCTACACGTGTGCCCAGTGTGGGAAGAGCTTCGGGCACAGCGCGACCCTGATGAAGCATTCCAGGACCCACACGGGCGAGAGGCCCTACAGGTGTGATGAGTGTGGGAAGAGCTTCTCTGAGAGCTCCAAGCTCCTAGAGCACGAGAGGATCCACACAGGCTTGAAACCCTACAAATGCCCTATCTGTGGGAAAGTATTCTGCCACAGCTCCTCGCTGACCAATCATCAGCGGGTTCACACAGGTGAGAGACCCTATAAATGCCCCGAGTGCGAGAAGACTTTTGGCCGCCGCTCCATGCTCATTCGACACATGAGGATCCACACAGGGGAACGACCTTACAAATGCCTCCAGTGCGCGAAGGCCTTTGCCGTTCTCTCAGTCCTGATCCAGCATGAGCGGATCCACACGGGGGAGAAACCCCACAAATGCGCCCACTGCGGGAAGTGTTTCAGCGATCCCTCTGTCCTGACCCGGCATGAGCGCATCCACACAGGCGCGCGACCCTACAAGTGTGTCCATTGCGGGAAGGGCTTTAGTCAGAGCTCCACCCATGCCCAGCATCTGAGAACCCACACCGGGGAGCGGCCCTATAGATGCGATGAGTGTGGGAAGAGCTTCAGTGTGAGTTCCAGCCTTGTTGTCCACCGGAGGATCCACACAGGAGAGAGACCCTATAAATGTCCCCACTGTGGGAAGAGCTTTAGTGGCTGGCCAAATTTTAGCAGGCATCTGAGGACCCACGCTCAGGAGTAAACCCGACAGGTGACCCAATTCTGGGAGACGCTACTGTGATCACTCTGGGCTCTTTAGACAGAGAACCCATGCAGTGGAGAGACGCTATAAATGCCCCAACTGTAACCAGAGCTTCTGTCTCAGCTCGGAGCTTAGTAGGTACCAGAGAATGCACGTGGGGGGCTACCTATAAACGCCCCAACTGATGGAAGAGCTTTAATCCCAGGATGTACCTTGTTATTCATCAGAAGATCCACAGCAGAGACAGGCCTGAGAAATAAATGTGGAGGTAAGCGTCATTCAGAGCTCAGAACAGGACTTCTGGTGCGGCGGAGGAGTGGGACGGATAGTGAGTTTCTTTTCTATCTCTTATTTTTGCAAGAGCCATTTTGTTCTTGTCCAGTCTGGGTTGTTAAAAATTCAGCTTGAACGTGAAGTTGTTTTTTTTTTTTTTTTCCTGGTAGAATGTAATTCTTTTCTTCATGCTATCGTAAAGGTGGGTGGGGGTAGAGATCAAGTGTGTCTGTGAGGCCAATCTTGTCCCTGTTGTGGGTCAATTCCTGTGCAGTATTGATCTGTACCATATGGGGTGCCGTCACTTTGGATGGGCTATTACCAGCAGGAGAGTGAGTTTGTGTGTGGGGGGGTGGAGGGTGAGAGAACCTGGATTTGTGCTGGAAATGGCCCAACTTGATGATCACTTTAGATAAGCTATTACCAGCAGGAGCGTGGGGTGGGAGGAGGTATTGTTTCATGGTCTCTGTGTATATAATGTCTTCTGCAGTTTCCACAGTATGCATCCGATGAAGTGAGCTGTAGCTCTCGAAAGCTCATGCTCAAATAAATTGGTTAGTCTCTAAGGTGCCACAAGTACTCCTTTTCTTATAGGGTATGAGAAACTGTTATCTGTAGGAATTTGCTACCAGTATTTGCTACCTCTCGCCTTTCCCATCTTCTGGTGCAGAGGTAGGAAATTGTTGCCAGTCGCAGTTACTGATCCTTAAGGCTGTTTTACACCTTCGACTGTGACTGAGAACTAGCCCTGATGACTCCAAGATCTCTTTCTTGAGTGGTAATAGTTAATATGGACCCTGTGTGTTTATGCGGGGGAGGGCGGGTGTCAAGGTTCCTTCCCCACTCTGAACTCTAGGGTACAGATGTGGGGACCTGCATGAAAACCTCCTAAGCTGACTTTTACCAGCTTAGGTTAAAAATTCCCCAAGGTACAAACTATTTTACCTTTTGCCCTTGGACTTTCGCTGCCACCACCAAACATCTCACCGGGTTCATTATTGGGAAAGAGCCATTTGGAAGCATCTTTCTCCCCAAAATCCTCACCCAAAACCTTGCACCCCCCTTCCTGGGAAAGGTTTGATAAAAATCCTCACCAATTTGCATAGGTGACCACAGACCCAAACCCTTGGATCTTAAGAACAATGAAAAGGCATTCAATTTCCTTACAAGAAGACTTTTAATAGAAGTAAAAAGAATCGCCTCTGTAAAATCAGGATGGTAAATACCTTACAGAGTAATTAGATTTAAAACATAGAGAATCCCTCTAGGCAAAACCGTAAGTTACAAAAAGACACAAAACCAGGAATATCTGTTCCATTCAGCACAGCTTACTTTCTCAGCCATTTAAAGGAATCATAATCTAATGCATACCTAGCTAGATTACTTACTAAGTTCTAAGACTCCATTCCTGTTCCTGCATCACACACACACACAGAGCCTTTGTTTCTCCCTCTCCCCAGCTTTGAAAATATCTTGTCTCCTCATTGGTCATTTTGGTCAGGTGCCAGGGAGGTTATCCAAGCTTCTTAACCCTTTACAGGTGAGAGGATTTTTCCTCTGGCCAGGAGGGATTTTAAAGGTGTTTACCCTTCCCTTTATATTTATGACAGGGGGTCTTCCTGATAATTGCTTCCTGCCTTCTTTTAGTTTTCTGGTTCCTTTTCCCTGAACTCAATGTTCGTGTGTCTGTCTGTCTGCCCGCCTAACTTCACTGGGTGATGGTTGTTACATGGTTTGATTGTTCACCTACCTGCATGTCTTGCAGCCATTTCCTTGTGTTTTGGGATTGTTGTCTTGGGGTGCGTCAGAGTGTCCCATTATGGAGACTGGTGATCTGTTTTGGGGTGCACACTCCATCACTTTGTACATACAGTTGGGGATTCTGTTTTCCAATGTGCACGTTACTTTGCACTTGCCAACATTGAATTCAATCTGCCATTTTGTTCCTCAGTCACCCAGCTTTTTGAGATCCCTTCAGAGTCGGTTTTGGACTTGACTACCTTGAATAACTTTGTATCCTCTGCAAACTTTGCCCCCTCAATGTTTCGTCTTTTTTTCCAGATCATTTATGAATATGTTGAATAGCACTGGTCCCAGGACAGATCTTTGGGGGACCCTGTTGTTTAACCTCTCTCCACTGGGAAAACTGACCATTTATGTTTACCCTTTGTTTCCTGTCTTTTAATCACTTACTGATCCAGGAGAGGACCTTCCCTCTTGTCCCATGACTGCTTAGTTTGCTTAACAGCCTTTGGTGTGGGAACTTGTCAAAGGCTTTCTGAAAGTCCAAGTACAGTAACTCCTTGCTTAACGCTGTAGTTATGTTTCTGAAAAATGCTACTTTACACGAAACGATGTTAAGCGAATCCAAGTTCCCTATAAGAATTAATATAAATAGGGGGAGTTAGGTTCAGGGAATTTTTTTTTGGTCAGACAAAATACTGTATATAAAAGTTTTAAACAAACAAACACGTTAATACTGTGCACAGCAATGATGATTGTGAAGCTTGGTTGAGGTGGTGAAGTCAGAGGGTGGATATTTCCCAGGGAATGCCTTACTGCTCAATGATGAGCTAGCACTCGGCTGAGCTCTCAAGGGTTAACACACTGTTGTTAATGTAGCCTCACACCCTACAAGGGAGGGGAGACAGCATGGCAGAGAGAGACAGAGAGACACACCCTGTGTGTGAGAGAGATGCACATTGCCCCTTTAAGTATGCTGATGCCACTCTAAGTACATTGCCTTTTTAAGTAGATCAGAAAGTTGAGACAGCAGCTACTACCAGCAAGCTCCCTCTGTCCTGAGCCTTGTTGTGTCTCTCCCTCCCCCCCCCCCGCGCCCCCCTCTGTGGAAATGGGGTAAAGTAGCAGGGAGGGGACACATCCTGACTTTAGCATCCCTCTTTCCTCCCCCCGCTTCCCCCCCCACAAAGCAGGTAGGAGGCTCCTGGGAGCAGCTCCAAGGCAGAGGGCAGGAGCAGCACATGGCAGTCCGGGGAGGGACAGCTGAACTGCTGGCAATGGGTAGCATGCTGGGTGGCTGCTGCACAGGGAATTTAGGGGGGCTGTCGGTCCACCCTGGTTTCAAGCCCCCACCAGCTCGCTGCAACGGGCTGCTCTTCCTGCAAGCAGTGGACAAAGCAGGCAGCTGCCAAATGACGTTATAAGGGAGCATTGTGCAACTTTAAATGAGCATGGTCTCTAATTGATCAGCAATGTAACAACGTTAACCAGGACGACTTTAAGTGAGGAGTTACTGTACACTATATCAACTGGGTCACCCTTGTCCACATGCTTGGTGACTCCCTCAAAGAATTCTAATAGATTGGTGAGGCATGATTTCCCTTTACAAAAACCACGTTGACTCTTCCCCATCAATTCACGCTCATGTGTGTGTCTGATAATTCTGTGCTTTACTATAGTTTTGACCAGTGTGTCTGGTACTGAAGTTAGGCTTACCAGCCTGTAATTGCCTGGATCACCTCTAGAGCCTTTTCTTTTAAAAAAATAAAATAAAAATGTTAAATTAGCTATCCTCCAGTCTTCTGCTACAGAGGCTGATTTAATGGATAGGTGTCATGGAGTGGAGTGTACATGGCCTGGCCTAGAAGAGCAGGAGTAAGATCTAGTGGGTGGAGCAGGCATCCAGGTTGGGGAACGAAGCCAAGGGTCAGCACCAGTCAACTACCAGTTACCAGAGCCAGGGGTCAAGCCAGAGTCAGAACTAGGAATTGAAGCTGAAGGTCAGAGCCAAGGTTGGATACCAAATTCCAGAGCCAGGATCAGGAGTCAGAGGATGGGGTCAAAGCCAGGACGGGTCACTGAGGATTGGAGGTGAGGCATAAGGGCAGGAGGAGACACAAGGATCAAGCACAGAGCAGGAGCATGGTGGGAACAAGAGTGAAGCCAGGAGCAGGGATGAGTGCAGGAGATAGGCACAAGCAGGGTCCAATGCAGCCACAACAGGAAACGACCTTGTTGCTCAGACAAATGTCCTGTTCCGCCTCCTGGCTTAAATAGCGTAGTAGGACCAATCAGCGGAGCTGGGCAGTACTCCAGTCAGAGCGCTCGTGGGTGATGCCTATAACCCCAGTAGCTTTTCAGCCCACTTGACGTCAATAGCCATTGGGTGGAAGCCAGGATGTGACAGCTGTTTGGGGATGTGTAAGCCTGAGGTCAAGTCCTGGGACGTCATAATAGGTTATGTACCACAGTTAGTAGTTCTGGGATTTCATATATAAGTTGCTCCAGAACTCTTGGGTGGATCGCATCTGGTCCTGGGGACTTATTACTGTTTGTTTAATCAATTTATTCCAAAAACTCTGACATCTCAATCTGGGACAGTTCCTCAGATTTGTCACCTAACAAGATTGGATCAGGTATGGGAATCTCCCTCACATCCTCAGCTGTGAAGACCAATACATATAATTAGCTTCTCCGCAATGGCCTTGTCTTCTGGCCATTGCGGAGAAGCTAATTGGGTGCTCCCTTAGCACCCTGATGGTCCAGTGGCCCCACTGATTGTTTGGCAGCCTTTCTACTTCTAAACAACTTTTTGCTGTTAGTGTTTTGCTTGTTAGCCTTCAAATTCATTTTTGGCCTTCCTGCTTATACTTTTACACTTGATTTGCCAGAGTTTTTGTTCCTTTCTATTTTCTTCAGTAGGATTTGAGTTCCAATTTTTAAAGGATGCTGTTTGGCCTCTAAGAACCCTTTTTACTCTGCTCTTTAGCAGTGGTCACGTTTTTCCCTGTTTTTTTTTATTTGGGGAATATGTTTAGTTTGGGCCTCTTATGGCGTTTTAAATAGTTTACGTGCAGCTTGCAGGCATTTCACTCTTTATTTTTATTTCCATTTCCTCCTCATTTTTGTGTAGTTCCCCTTTTGGAAGTTAAGTGCTATTGTGGTGGGTTTCTTTGGTATTTCCCCCCCCCCAACAAGGTTGTGAAATTTAATTACATCATGGTTGCTATCACTGAGCCATCATACTCTTTAATCTTTTGGACCAGATACTGTGCGCCACTTCATCAAGAATTGCCTCTCCCTTTGGGGGTTCCAGGACTAGCTGCTCCATGAAGCAGCCTTGAAATGCAAAGCACTATTTGGCACTAGGGACCTAGTTTAAAGTAACATTTCTGTAACTTTGCCCTCTTCACATCAGATTTCCCCCCTAAGAACTGCCATGAGAAATATCCTTAATTATGGCCCCATTGTGCATTCACTCACTGTGTGACCTTGGGAAAATAATTTTGCATCTGTTTCTGAGGTTTTAAAATAAAATAGCAATTATGAAACCCACCTTTGTGGTCCGCCGATTAAAAGTGATATTTCGGTGTTCTTACTGCTTTGGAAACACACATCTGCAGTGAAGAAAACTTTGAACTGACACTCCCAGGCCTCACAACGGGAGCCAGTGAAAATTGAAAGCATAGGTTCATCTGCAAGCATCAGAAATGCAGTGTCCTGGGAGACACTGAAATGGACTGAGGGGAAGATGGGGTCAAACAGCTCAAGTTAAAAGCACCTGTGCCTATTGATAATAAATCAAAGTGGAAAGCTCTTCGCACGTATGTGTTTCTTTAAGCAGCTTGTGCTACTGTACAAGACAGGACAGCACTGCTTTATCCCGCTGTAGGAATGCATGGGCGTCCCTCCCTGTCAGCCTCAGAGGGAGGCCACACGTCCTCGCTGTCACAACTATAAATGGCAATTTTTCAAAGGGGGAATTAACAGTTTGTGAAGCTCAGGCCCTCTGTCAAGGCTGATTCCCCACCCTGGCACTTCGAGTGCAGAAGGTGGGGGCCCACAAGGATTCTAAAAATGGATACTGGCACTCCAGGCTGGTATTAAACTCCCAAGGTTACAGCTTCTCTCTGACCTTGGATGGGTAGATGCTGCCACCACCCAAATACAAAAAAACGCTTTGAACCTAGGAAGGTGCACTGGGGAATTCCTCCCTGTGGGGTACCCTCATGCCCTCTTCCCCACCCCTCCGGGGAAGAGCTGAGAGAGAAAACAAATGAAATTAGCTGTTGTCACCAGCAAATGAAACAACATCTGCACAAACCTCTTAGGACACAAAAAACCCAATCCTGTTATTAACAAAGGTAAATTTTATTAAAAACCAAAAGAAAGAAAATACACCTGGAACTTAGGCTATTGCTAGATTTAAAAAGAGCAAATCTAATAATTAAGCATCAAGAATTGTTTGTTTGTTTTTTTTTGAGGTCCAGCTTAATGGTTACCAGCAAAACAAAAGGATTTTGGGGGTTAGCACAGAGGAGTCCACAAGCCTTACAGAAATAAAAGAGAGAATCTAATTGCGCCTTCCTAGACATTTCCTGATCTACTTACATATCTGGGGTTTCAAATTGAGTAGTTCTAGGTATGATCTGGTGATTTTCATACCTGGTTCACAGCTTTTTACAGCATAGCTTTACCACTGACAAAGGGAAAGTTCCCCCCCCCCCCATTTTAAAAAGTTCTAGCCCTCCCATTGGCTCTTTTGGTCAGTTGCTCACTCCCTTCCTTTTTACCTATGGGCTTTTTTAACCCTTCACAGGTAAAGCAAGTAGAGAACAGCTACTAACATGGATTTTATAGCTAACTGGCTGGCTGGGTGTCCATAAAAGGGAGCTACCCCTCCCCCCTTCATTTATCACATGCCCCCCAAATCACAGACGGTGCTGGCCAGCCTGGTTCAGGTCAGGTCCACACTGACTGGGATTTCCTCCTGGAGGTTTAGGAAACAGAGTTAATAAGATACACCCACCTCTAATTTTACTACCAATTACATGGAGAACTCAACAGTATTTTTCACATTTCAAGGACTACGTTGACTTAGAATCCGGGGACATTTTTACCCAGCTGATTCTGGGAAACCTTTCTGGGAGAGGCTCCTCCTTGCAAGGTGGGGCCTTGGGCTGACCCAGATGGTGGGGTGTCTGGTCGGGTTGCCCCTTCTGGTATCCGCTCCAACTGCTACTAGCTTTCTTCTTCTCCACCACCTCCACCCATTTGGCTCTGATCTCCCCCGCCTCAATTGCAGTTTTGGGCTTCCCATCTAGGATGTACCTTTCTATCTCCTCAGGAACATCCTCTAAGAACGGCTCCATTTGCATTAGGAGAGACAGATCTTCCAGAGATTTAACGCTTGCTCCTGATATCCAGGCATCCCAATGTTTCACAGTGTGGTCGGCGTGTCGGGAAAATGCCACGTCTGGTTTCCACCTTAGGGCTCTGAACTGCCGATGGGCATGCTCGGGTGTTCACTCCATCCTAATTTTGGCCTTGTGTTTAAAAGTTCATACAGGTGAGCCAGATTCATTTTCCAAGTCAGTGTTCAGTTGAGACTTAGGGGCCTTGTCATGGGCTGGCACCTGGCCTGCCGGCATCACAGAGGCCACTGTCTCTGAATCATCCTCCTGGTTCCTGACAATTATAAGGTGCACCAGAAACTTATGAAAAGGGCAGCCCTAGGTGCACAGGTAGAATTGGTTAATGGCAATCCATATAAGTTAGTTCATATTTGACATATTGCTGGGCCTGCTAGAGTGGTTTTGCTTATTCATGAGGCCATCTGGGAGCTTACCATGATCCTTTGGCAGACTCCCTCCTCTCTGATGCCCACTGCCATGAGAACAGAAAAGAGGTGCCAGATTCCTTCTTAGGCACGTGAATATTTTTACTCACCCCCAACCTCAGGATCTTTGGCCTTCATTATGCTTAACCATCAATTCCACTGATTCCAAGAACTTTAATGAAGCTCAGACAAGACTCAGCTTCTGTGATTCTCATTGCACCAGTATGGCACGGACAATACTGCTTTCCAGAACCGGTCAGGCTGTCGATACAACCAGCCATCACGGTTCCTCTTACTCCCAACTTGATATTGCAGAATGGCATCTTCATCATCCTCACGAGGTAGGTTAGTGCGGAGACAGAGGGGAGAGCGCCCCCTGCTGGTCCCCCTGTGCCCTGCAGCACAGAGCTCCCTAGCGCTGGACTTGGTCATAGGTGTCAGTGCTGACTGCAAAGGGAGAGCGCCCCCTACTGGGTCCTCACCCTGTTTCTTGCAGCACAGCGCCCCCTACTGAGCCCTTCCCTGCAGCACAGTGCCCCAACCTATTGCCGCTCTCTAGCCCCATCCATCACACTCTCGTCTCTCTCCTTCTTTCCATCCTGTGCTTCCCCAAGCCTCAAGGACTCAATCAAGTACATCAACTTGTCCACTGAGGAGGCAGGGGCAAGTGTGCCAGAGACACATCAGTACGAGGTGAGGCCGGCAGCAGGGAGCCAGGACTCCTGGGTTCTATCCCCAGCTCTGGCAGGGGAGTGGGGTCTGAGGGTTAGAGTGGGGGCTGGGGATCAGGGCTCCTGGGTTCTCTTCCTGCAGTGCCCTATGACGAGTCTGTTTTTATTTCAGGTCAAGAACCTGCGGCAGCGAAGTGTCCCCCTCTCGGTCACGATCCAGTTCCCCGTGGAGCTGAGCGGGGTCCGGGTGTGGGACGCCTCTGAGGTCGTCCCCTCCAAGGTACCTGCCTCTCCCTGCCCTTGTGTGTGTGAGATGGGCCCAGTGATGCCTGCTCGGCCCTACAGCGCCCCCTGCTGGGACAGGCTGCCTGGGGGGGGAAGACCCCTTCCCAGTGGTGAAAGTAAAATTAATTTTTCCCAGTATTGGGGGTGGGGGCATGTCACCTCCCCACATGACCCTCCCTGTGACTCTGTCCTGTCCCCAGCCCAGGATCCCCACGCTTTTCCCCTCCCCATCCCCGTTACCTGGGGGGAGAGGGGGCTGGGAGCGGTACAGCATCCGGAGGAGCTATCGGCATCTACGCCTTTCCCCGCTGCCCCTCCCAGCCCCCTACGCTTCCACAGAGCTGCATCTCCTTCCGCAAGGCTGCTGCTGTATGTGACGAGCTGGAGGAGGCTTAGCTCCATGGAGGAGCTGGGGGCGGTACGGTGTCTTTCCGGTATGCCGTGCCGGCTATAAATAGCTTTCTGGTACAGCAGACCGGACCGGACCAGCCCGGCTTTTTTCTTATCAGTACATCACACCGGCCCTTACCAGGTTACATTCACCGCTGCCCCTTCCCCAGCTCCTGAGCCAGCCAGCCAGCCCCCTGTGCTGGGGCCCTGTAGAGGTGAAAGGTCCCATGGCCCATTCCTGCCCCTGTTAACACCGTGTCTCTCTCCCTCCCCAGCCCCAGCTGGCTCAGTGCGTAAGTGAGGCTGGAACCCCGGGTTCGAAGGACTTTGTGAAGCGGATGAGCGAGCGCCCCCTGCTGGTGAGTACAGGCCAGTGCGGATCCCACCAGCCCCTTCCCCTCTGCGCTAACACAGACCGTGCATGTGGGGCTGGGCTGGGGGAGGGACAGGGCCCCGTGCTATAGACAGACCCAGAGCCTCATGACCATGCTGAGCCCCTGCACGCCCCCTGCCTCACCCGGCGATATCCTTCTGCACCCAGGACTTCTCCGTGGCCACCTGTAAGAAGATCCGGTGCAGAATCACCTCCCTGGAAATGCACCAGCCGCTGGAGTTCATGATCAAAGGGAACATCAGCTTCCAGTGGGTCTCCCAGGTACGAGAGCTGCCTCTGCCTCTCAGCACCAGGTGAGGGATCCCCCAACATGTGAACAGCCCCCACGCCTCACCCCTGAGGGTGGCTGCATCTCAGTCCCGGGCAAGGGATTGCCACTGTGTGAACAGCCCGTAAATTGCTCTGGGTCCCTCTGGGTTGATGCTCCGGGCTGGTTTGTGTCATTTCTGGTCAGGGACGGTGAATTTCTCTGTTCCAGACTCAGCAGCAGAAAGTGAGTCTCGTGAACGAGGCCCGGATTGAATACGAGGAGAAGAAATACACCCAGAAGGAGGGATTCGTCCAGTGCCAGGTACCAGAGTGACTGTGCCCGGGATAGAGAGAGCATTGGCTAGTGGTTAGAGCTGGGAGCCAGGACTCGTGGGTTCTGTCCCTGCTCTGGGAGGAAGTGGGGTTTGGTTTGATAATTTCAGGACTCCTGGGTCCCCATCTCACAGCTCCTCTCCCCCAGGTGCAGACGTTGGTGGAGCGCTCCGAGGTCTTAACTACCTGCCCATCATCGTGGGCAGCAGCGTGAGGGGCCTGGTCCTGCTGGTTCTCATCACTGCAGCCCTCTACAAGGTGAGTGGGGCAGCGCTTGGACCTCTCCCCCACCGCCCATCACCCTGGGGGTGGGGCCTGTAGCTCTCCCAGCTGGTGGAGAAGGGGCAAGGATCTTTCCTTTGGAGGTTCCCACAGCCTGTCTCTCCCCATCCTCCGCCATGAGCCTGTCTCTGTCTGTCTCTCACCATCTCCCCTCTTTGTCTCCTTCCAGTTCGGTTTCTTCCAGCGCCAGTACAAGCAGATGATGGAGGGCGAGGGGGCTGGCCCGACCCGGAGCGCAACCGCTGGCAACCCCCCTGCTTCCGATGCCCCAAAACAGTAGCCCCCCAGACGCCAACGCCCCCCGGCTTTGCCTCCCTCTTAGTTGCTCTAGATCCACTTCCGCCTCCTTGTGTTTGCCACCCCCAAGACGCAGAAAGACCGGCCACTGCCCATCCCCCAACCATTAAAAGAGATCCTAGTGTCAACTCGAGCTAATTGTTACTCAAATTATGCTGGGCAGAATTCTGCTTACTTTTTTATCATTTTGATGGAGAACATTAAAGTTAGTTTATAGGCATTTTTTTTTAAGAGTTCTATTGATTTAAATTTTGATGTGGAAAGTTACTTGTTTTAAGCATCCTTCCCTCCCCCATTTTTATCAGTTTAAATAATCACGGTTGTGGGAATTTGTATGTGTTGGGAGTCAGGCCATAGGTGAAGGTCAGACAATTATTTAATGGCAATAGAGGTTGAGATTCAAGAAGTGGAGCTTTATAATTATGCTTGGAAGGACTGGATTTTTATTGGTAAATGTTGAATTCATCACACACGCGCAAGCTGCTGGCAAAATATTTCCATCGCTAATCATCAAAATTTGCTGCTTGAGAACTTCTAAAACTGATTGAAAAGGAAAAAAATCAAAGTCTCTGCCCTGCAGGTTTAAACTGAGGAACTCCCTGCTGCATGTGGTAATGAGGCTGTGACAGAATACGTTCCTGTATTCACACCCTCCATATTATTGTTATAATCTTTGTACGAAGTATGCCTTGTAAGGTATAATTCAAAACCTCACAAGTTGTTAATCAGTATTGTCCTGATAAGATATGGGTCTCAACATTGTCAATAGGATGAAATTCAATAAGGACAAATGCAATGTACTCCACTTAGGAAGGAGCAATCAGATGCACACATACCGAATGGGAAATAACTGCCTTGGAAGGAGTACTGCGGAAAGGGATCTGGGGGGTAATAGTGCACCACAAGCTAAATATGAGTCAACAGTGTAACGCTGTTGCAAAAAAAGCAAACGTCATTCTGGGATGTCTTAGTAGGACAATGGGGCACGGCACGGCGGGGGCAACCCTGCTTCATCCAGTTCAAGAGCACTGTTTACAAGCCGCAGCCCTGTGCTGCCAGTGTGCCCCTTCCCCGTGGGGGTGGGTCCATGCCATGCCACACAGCCCTCCCACCCAGCACCCCTGGACCCACTATGTCCAGCACCCCCCCCACAAATGCACAGTGCCCTGAACACCGTCACCCCTGCCCAGCACCCCCCCACACCCTCAGCCCCACCACCTCTGCCCAGCACCCCCCACAGACCCCCCCACTGCCCAGCACCCTAACATGCAAAGATCTCCCCCACTGCCCAGTACCCTTCCCCACAGTCCCACCATCACAACTACACTGCGCCTCACACAGACACCCCCCCCCCCACTGCCCAGCATCCCAAAATACACAAACCTCCCGCACTGCCCAGCACCTCCCACCCCCTCACATCCCAGCATCCCCTCACAGACCTACTCCCCGACACCCTGCCCCTAGGCCCTGCTGAGCCAGCGCAGAGCAGGGATCCCTCTCCAGAACAGTGCTAGGGGGCAGGACAGCAGAAGCTCGGGAACGCAGAGCGGCCCTGTGCCCCAGGGCCCTATGCAGCCCCAGACCACAGATCCATGGCCGGAGAGGGCTGAAGGCTGAGAGCAGCAGCAGGAGGGTGCTGGTTCTCTCGGCAGGACGGCTGAAGCCAGAGGGCCAGAGAGGGCTGAACTCTGGGGAAGGATGGAGGGTTAAACCCGCTGATGTCTCCAACTGGAACCATACCTGGGAATGAAACAAGGTGGAGAAGCACCCGAGCTAGAAGGGTGCTGGAGCTGTATTGTAGAGCCGTGGTTTTGTTCATAGATCCCTAGATTCCAAGGCCAGAAGAGATCATTGTGATCATCCAGCCTGACCTCCTGTGTAACAGGCCTGAGAACTTCCTTGAAATAATTCCTAGAGCAGAGCTTTTAGAAAAGCGTCCAATTCTGATTTTAAAACGGTCAGTGATAAAGAATCCAGTCTGACCCTTTTCAAGTTGGTCTACCGGGTAATGACTCACATCTTCTTGTTAAAAATGTATGTCTTATTTCCAGTCTGAATTTGTCTAGATTCAGCTTCCAGCCATTGGATCATGTTAAACCTTTGTCTGCTAGATTGAAGAGCCCATTATTAAATATTTGTTCCCCATGTAAATACTTATAGACTAGGATCAAGTCACCCCACAACCTTCTCTTTGTTAAGCTGAATAGATTGAGCTCCTTGAGTCTATCATTTCAATCATTCTTATGGGTTTTTTCTGTCCTC